AGCCATGGAAGGTGTATCTATAGGTCTCTTTCAAACGAAATGTATTTTAAATAAGTCTCTGTGATCAGTGAATGACAGCAGACAAGTTGTCTCTGTAATACATCCCTCATTGTCTCGTTAAAGTGTTTTCAAAACAAAACAACAACACAGACCAATCAAAAAAGTGGCTTCTGAAGAGATCTACTGGGCTGGTTTAAAAACAACAACAACAAATCCCTCTGCGTCTACAAGCCGGAGAAGTGATCTCAGAAGGTTATGGTGATGTTTGTGGGGGGGGGGGGGACGACATTTCAAGATTATCAAGATAGATTTTCTCAAAGGATACAGGATGGTCACAGGAGCTTATCATGAAAAACAAATCTTAAGAAAACTACATCAGTGAAGAAAAAAACCCTAAGAAGGTTGCACAGAGGACTTTCATCCATTCAAACGATGCAAGCTGCTCATTCTTTGAGGGTAGTAAGGGTTGCTGCCCCTTTGGGAAATGTTACCCCCCTGGTAAACCTTACCCCACTCACCCTTCCGTCCTCATCTGACCCTTCAGGCTTCTTTTTCTTCCCAAAACTCAAGGAACATTTCAAGGAACACAATTTTGAGTCCCTCCAGGATGCCTGACCTGCCATTTGACATGTCGATACAAGAACGTAAAATTCTTTGGAGGAAAGATGAATGATATGTTGAGACAGAGTAGCTTCCCATTTTGATGTTTTTGCTTAACAAAGGTTTCTCTGACTTTGTAACAATCCTGTGTGTACTTATATGTAGAGACTGGAACCTGTGAGACCTATAATTCAAAGGGCCCTTGGTTTTCCAGATCTTTTAAGATTCTTTCCCTTTGACAAGTGCAGTGACCATTTTTTAAAATCATTTTATTGCGGGCTCATACAACTCTCTCACAATCCATCCATCCATCCATGGTGTCCAGCAGCAGTTACCATTTTTGTATTGTGGGAAATATCTGAGTTTTCCTTTTCTGACAAGTACCAGCTTTGTCAGGTTTTACTGTATATGTTTTGTGTGCTTGTTTGTCTATCTATGTACATGTGAGATCTTCCAAAAGCTCATGAAAAATTTTCTAAACAAAAGCATGGAGGAAGACAACAAGAAATGAACTAGCTTAAGTGTATCTGCTGAAGCACAGATAAACAAAGAGTGGCACCGTCACTCTGTGGATCCCGGCTTGCCTTTAACAGGAGTGACTATGAGTGGTGTGCCATAGCAGTGGGACATATTTACTATATGATTTTTCATTAAAGAGCAGAAATAAAAAAATCTGTGTGATATGTACAAAACAAAAGGCTGACCATTAAACAAAAAGGAGAGAGAGAATGATTTGTTCCCAAACTTAGATTGAGCAACTACGTGGTCAGCAGCTAGGGCTGCAGCTGTGTAAATGTTCCTGATAGGGTTTGAGAAAAACATGATCGCTGATCTCTATTGCATCTCATTGATTTTTTGCCAAAGGATGAAACTGTTCTTTGTCATATTTTTAGTCAGATATCAACCTGCCTCTTATTCTTCTCAGATATGTCCCTTATTGCCTCTGATTACTGATTCGTGTATGGCGATGATGAGGAGATGACTGCACCTCATCCATGTCTTCATATATTTCCCTGTCACCGGTTTTAAACACACAATGCTTAAATGACTCTTGGTGAACCTAAACATGCAAGACGCAGGCCCTGCAACCATTAGGTTCTATTGTGAGTCAAAGTCAACTCAACAACATCCCATGCTATTTAATAGCTAAAAATTTTAGGTATTTCAACTAATTTTTTTCTTTGCCATTTTGAATCTGCCTGGGATTATCTAACTCTTAAATCCCTTATTCAAACTCACTACCATGGTGTCTATGCCGACACAGAGTTACCATGTTGAACAGGGTAGAACTACCTCCGTAAGTTTCTGAGACTGTCATTGTTTACAGGTAGAGAAAGTCTCATCTTGTTCCCACAGTCACTGGTGGATTCAAACTGCTGACCGTGAACTTAGAGGACCAACAAGTAGCTATTAAGCCACCAGAATTTATTGAATCATAAATTTTGTGTCTTTCTCAGATGACTGTGTCTAAGAAATTTTGATCCAAAAAAGCATACACATATATGTATTCAGAGACTGAATAGATAAAGAGCATACAGGGCAGGCATGAAAAATGGAGAAATGATTTTAAAAGCTGCATTCTAAACATCTAAACTAGAGGAGGATATCACTCTCCCTCTTGTTACCACCTCACAATCTCATCTTTCACTTCCAGGTCAAAATCCAAAATGTTATGTTCAAACAGGTTAACATATATGTTATATGTCTATATTTATACCAACACCACACTGTTTTGATTACTGTATCTTCTATTCATTCTTTTTTTTTATTTTTTAACATTTTATTAAGGGCTCATACAACTGTTATCCCAATCCATACACACATCAATTGTGTAAAGCGCATTTGTACATCGTTTCTCAAAACATTTTCTCTCCATTTAA